CTAATATTGTTGTAACATTTTGCTGCATATGTGATTTTTTTTAATAGTTCATTAAAATTATTTTGATTTATCTTCAGCGGTTTGTTTAATTTCAAAAGTAGGATTTTGATAATACAGCAAAATATTATAAACAATAATTAGTTACATTATTAGGATTCTTATTGGATACAGTATGCAACCTAATACTATATGAATTCGCATAGTTGCATAATTTGTGTGTCTGATTTGTATACACGGCATTAAAATGATTATGTATGCAAAATTTTGAATATCAAATAGGTCATATTTGATTTATATTACTTACACATCAATAAAACTTTCAAAAATGTATGTGATAAAATAATCGTTTGATCCATTATTACTATCATTAATTAGTTTCGATAAAATAATAAAAACAACTTTTTTATTTGCATAAGAATATTAACAAGGTGCAAGATCTCTTTTTCTTTTCACACATTTAATATTATAATAAATTGTTTAATTTTGTATGAAATTTAGTTATTTGATTCGAATTTAAAATATGATCAAAATACTCTGTGTCAGATTCAGTTGTGTTTTGAATAGGATGTTTAAAAATACGCGCGCGATTATTTCTAACTGAACCTGTATGAGAATCATGTATCAATCTTCGTAAATTTAAAAAAAATAGCTTGCACGCTTGTCGCTATTCTAATGCATTACATCTAGATAGAAATGGAAGATAGTTTTCACATACTTCTACATTAACACATTCCTGTAGGCCCTCTTGATTTTATAATTTTTATTTTAAATTTATATTTTGAACATTCTATTTGTACTATAAAAATATACAATATAAAAATATTAATTTGAAATTATTATATTTGGAATGTCAGTATTAATAAAAAATGAGTGGCCATTCAATTTCAGAATAATTGATACAAATTATTTATATTTTTTTTGTATTATATTTCCATGTGAATTATTGATACTATGCATCAAAATTACTTTTTTTATAAGTGAATAAATAATTAAGGTGATAGAAATTCATTTCAAAGAAATTTATTGGTTTCATTATATCTACTTTGAGCGCTAGAAATCCATAGTTATTCATAATTATTATCAATAAAAATAAAAATACAACTATGAAAATATTAATATGTCAAATAAACAAACAAATTACGATAAAATAATTCAAAATCAAAATTAAAATATCAAATTAATGAAATATTAATTGAATAACAATATGTCGCCAATTAATACTTTTCAATTTTTTTTTTTTAAAAATAATAAAAATAAAGTTTTGTAAAATACATCAATATTCATAAAATTAACGAAGTTAACACATCATAATATTGCGTGCCTTGTTAAAGTTAGAATCCGAATGTTACGTGATATTTCTTTACTCGAATTTCAAAATAGAAATATGATAAAGCTTTTTATACCGTTAACGCAAATAATCGAAATTACTTTTGGTACGAACAATTAATAAAAACGTACGAACAATAAAAAATAATTAGAAAAAATATTATTATTGTTAATTTACGCAATTAATGTAATAGAAGATAAATTCACTCAATCGATTACTAATTTTCAAATAAAATTTATTATATTTGTAGAGAAATTTAGGAAATATTTTACGTTCAATATAACGCCAATAAATTGAATTTAATTTAAAATGAAAGCATTTTGTATCAATAATTCAAACATAGACTTTTTCTATTTTCCTATTTTTTTTTCAATTTTTATAATTCTATTCTATGGGGATAGTTACATTACTATTATTGACAATAATTAAAATTTATCCCTTCATTTCTGTAACATTTTGTGGTATGGGCAGTTGATTAAATTATTATTCAAATTTGCGTTTTCAAGTTCAATATATCTTCACACAAAACTTCAAAGTTCATTTTATGTATTTTACAAGATTAAAATTTCATTCTTATGTAACATTTAAAATTATTTCTATATCGACATTAATAGTTGGAATTTATTCTCATGCAATATTTAATAATATCGACAAAATCAACGAGCGTGTTTTGGTCCTAAAATGAAAATAACGAAATAAATTAATTGAAAGATTTTATTGACTCGTTCCCGCGGATTCATGAGTCTCTTATAAGTCATCAAAATTACGTCAAATATTTTGATCTCCCGGTTTTTACTAATCTTTCGAGTCTCCATTCGGGTTTTTCCTACCCTGATTAATTATTTATTTGTCAGATACCTATTGTTTCTTTTGAACAATTTAATATTAGGCTATCTGAAATGAAGGATTGGCACTATCGCCTGAAAAGTGGCACAATGGCTACGCTAAATCCTTTAGGCATTTCGCCCTGATACTGGCATTTAAAGCCACATTAAAAATCGCGACGTTATAAAAAGATTTACAGAAGTAAATTGGAAACTCAAAGTCATTAACTAGAGTCACTTACTTTTCAATATTACTTTCTGAGTCTTCTATATTATTACTTGATGACTTTGTTACTAATCTTTACAATTATTTTGTCATATTTCTGTTATGAAATTCGGACCTGGTAATGCTCGTAATTGTTTTTGTTAAAATGCTTAGTTAACAATATTTACTTGAACTTAACCTTGATGGTTATGTGAAGTCAACAAAATAATAGTGGTGTGAACAATAATCGAACTGCCCGTTGTTACAAAAAACGTTACCCAAGTACAACCAAAATCCTAATACTTAAAAAAATATTCAAATTGACAAAGTATTATTATTTATATTCTAATTGACAATTAAAATCTTGAAAAAAAATTGACGACTATGATGTTCTGGTCTGGATATGTTGAAGGATTGGTTTTCTTACTTGGGGAGTGAGCCTTAGTCAAGAAGTCTGCGTCGATCTGCGTAGTTCTGTCTGCGTAGTTTATCTCGGTAATGCTGCCACCTTTGGTGCCTTTAGTTCCTCGTGCTAGTCCTGGTCTTGCTGCTTGCTGGATACTCCGTCTCTGGGTGCGAAGAAGAAAAACCGGATCCAGAATTCACCAAGCACAATTAACAAAACTAACACTTCACTACACGGAAATCCACCGCTTGACACCATGAAATGATATATAGGTGGTTGAGTGGGAAGGTTTAGGTATGGGTTGGAGGTCCGTTTGTTGGAAGATCCACAGTCCTGGATATTGGTTACTGTAGTAGCTTCTTTATACGATATGGTAATAATGTCCGTCCAACCTTTCCTGATGCCTTGGGTCGTGCAGTAGGAATAATGTTTGATCGACTGGTTTGATGAGAGTTCTCTTCAGAGTAATGGGTACATTCAATAAGGTATTTGCTGGAAGAGACAAACTTCTGGTTTCCAATATAAAAATCCACTTGTAGTATTTTACACTGTATTTATTTCTTTTAATTCACAGACATAATCTCCACTTAATGTATCTAAGACTACTCTTAAGACATAATCAATCGGCTAGAGTCTTGACTAAGACATCACTGGTTTATTCAAATAATTTTGACTTTTTATATATTTTATTGGACGTGATAATTCTTAGGAATGGCGCGCTTCCGCATTCATGCGACGATCTTGGACTTTAGTTAACATTGAAGAATAAAATTTTTCTACCTACCATAACAATCCTTGAATGACCCTTAAAAATCTATCAAAACACGTGTGTCGCTCACACAAGCTTCGGAACGCGCAAAGTACAGAAGTCGTGGCAGAATTACATAATTCTACTTACATTTTTGTTCAAATAAAAAACTATCATTTTTCTGTTTACATCATACAAAAAATTATAAAAAATGCATGGTGTTGACAAGTTAGTTGTATAAAGGTTAGTGCCAATCTCTAGTGTTGTGTACACTTCTCTACATGTAACCTACCAACGTAATGTAAGTCCACTTGTATTTTATATGTATTATCCATCTTCATAAAATATGTGTTTGCTTTTACTATATACGAGTTTAAGATATGTAGGTTTATATATATATATTATATATATATATATATATATATATATATATACGTATTTGTATGTATATATGTATATATATATATATGTATATTATTATTTACATGTTGTTTGTATGTATGTACATATGTATATGTGTATACATGTATTTGTATATGTGATATATGTATGTATGTATATGTATATATATGTGAGCATTATGTACATATGTAATATGTATGTATTGTGTGTGTATATGTATATATGTATGTATATATATATATTATATATATATATATATATGTATATATACTAGCTGACCGGCAAACGCTGTTTTGCCATCAAAAATATTTTGCCTCATTGCAGAAGTT